AAAAAAAAAATTAAAAAAATCACTTTTGAAATGTACAAAAATGATTTATTTACTGGTGAGACAGTGCTGAAGACTCATTTTACCACAATCAATATAATACATACCTACCAACGGTCCCGCTATTGGTGGGACAGCACTGATTTTGGGGTGCTGTCTTGCTTCTGTTCAGCAGCCCTGCCTGCATGGTCCTAGAGGCTTGGGACCGGCCAGGCTGCCTGTCAGGTGGTAAACTGCACCTTTTTGGGCTAATATGAGCCTTTTGGACGAGACCACCCCTTTTCAGGACTGTTCGCCTAGCTGGCGATGCCCCCTTAGGACTCCACCCATCCAGATTTGAAGAGGAGCAATGTTGGGAGGTATGGAATGAGATGTAAATATGGCTTGACAAAGACCTTCGCATGATGAAATGTTGCTGGGTCCCCTCCTGGTGGAATAAAATTCTCCTGTCAACATAAGTCTGGTGGCTTTTTTAATACACTGCACGTTACTTCAGTCAAGAAAACAGGTTCACCAGGCCTAAGCCAGAAAACCTCTGGATTCAACCTATGATGCTACAATATGAATATCTGCAAGATGTTGATCCATTTAGAAATAAACCAAATTTGTACATAGAATCATGTCTGCTTTTGTGATTGGGTCATATTGCAGTTGAAGACATCCTACTGTCTATGTTGCGAAACTTTGCTCTATATATGTTGCTGACTGCTTGTCTGTGAGTGACTTAGATGAAATGTATCATGCATGGGGTCATATGGGTGGCACTATTCCAGGCTGTCTGAGTGTGGTAGCCTCAGTCCTATTAGATATGATTTAGTTCTGATAAAACTGTGTTCTGTTTTACAGAGAAGGAAGTGGTTAGCTGAGAATAACTAACATGACTGCTGCTGTTATATTATTAAAAGAAGTAGTCATGATTTAATTGAACTATTGCATTGTATAAACTGTGAAATATAAATACATCAATAGAAGCGATCTGGAACCCACATCCAAGTTAAGCTCATGGTATACATGGACATCACCAGAAAACATGGATACAACACAATAATTAAGAGATGGCTAGCACCAAAGATGGTCAAAAATGAGTGTAATTTTGTTAATTCATTAAAGGACACTCAAGGCACCATTTCAATTTTAAAGAGTTACTCCAAGCACCGTGACTACTTCAGTGGTTTTTAAGTGGTAATGGTGCTTGAAGTCAGTATGTGTAGCATTTCAATTTGAAATGCTGAATAGAAAAAAATGTATGCATATTTGGTGTCTGTCTTCAGCATGCATAGTATGCTGGTGACAGATATCCAATGACGCACGTCCCACCCTCTCTGTGCCCCCGAAGTCCTCCACTCAGCCTGTCCTCTGGAATTTTCGCTCCCCCTCCTGTGAGGTGGAGGAAGTGATATCAGCTTGGATGAACAGGCTGCAGGGAGAAATTGGCCTCTACATGGGATCTAAGGTAAGTTTTTGCTTTCTCTCTTTCTGGTTTATTTAAAAAATAAAATAAATTGGGGGGGCGGAGCCTGACCGCGAGCTGTGATGGCCGCATAGCGCGAAAGCTCCCGCCGACGGGCATAATCATTTAGCCACAAACCCAACCACAATCGGTGCACGGACCCCCAGAGGCGCAGCACACATCCCGGAATACCCACAGTCACAAGCGGACATGGGGGGGGGCGGAAAAAGCACGAGCAGCCGCCATCCGTGGCCCCTTTGTTCCGGCAACCACGAGGCCAGACACCATCTTCCCCACAACAGCGGGAAGACTCTGCATCCGACTCAGACCGCAGTGAGGCAGCAGGCTCAGCTTCCACACCGATCACCAAGAGGGACCTGCAACTACTGCTGCAAGAAGCTGCAGCAGATATAAAGACACATATGGTGGCAGAAATTGGAAAACAGCTGCAACTCCTGAAGGCTGACCTGGCTGACCTGGGGGAGAGGACAGGGCAGGTGGAGCAGAGGGCAGATGAACTCCTTAAAAACCTCAATATGCACCAAGCTGAGCTCACTACACTGAGGAACAAAGTGGAAGAATTAGAGACAGGTATGGAAGACTTAAATAATCGCTCTAGGCGTAACAACATAAGGATTAGAGGCCTCCCCGAAACAGTCACGCCTGATATGCTGCTCTCCACGCTGCGTGAATTGTTTCTTACAATCCTTCCAGAGGCAACGCCACAAGACCTCGCCATAGACCGGGCGCACAGAGCCCTCAAACCCCCTAGCCAAAACCAAATAGCGCCCCGAGACGTCATAGTACGCCTTCACTACTTTACCTTTAAAGAAGCCATCATGTCGGCCACACGAAAAACTCAGCCAAAATTTGACGCCATCACTCTTCAGTTTTACCAATACGTCTCACCTACCACATTAATGAAACGCAGAGAGCTCAAACCCCTAACCAGCGCACTGGCACAAGCCAACATACCATACCGATGGGGACACCCCTTCAAGCTACTAGTCCGCCAACATGATAGTACCCACGTCCTGCAAGATACCTCAAAAATGGCGCCCTTCGCTGCCGCACTGGGCATCAGCCTACCCGAAGCATGAGCGCAATCCAGAAAACCAGCGGACAACGCCAGACCACAAAGGATGCCACTCTGGGAAAAACTTCGGACACCCCGGAGCCGACCACCCAAGCGCCAGCAGCAGACATCGGTGCAGATTCGCGACCGGGACACCTGAATGGCATGGAACCAGTCCACCATGGACTCAACCACTCTCAGGCAGAGACTATCCTAAGAGACTTAAAGGGACTTCCAAACTTTTTGATCTAATTCTGAGTGCAGGAACGCACACCACCATATCCTTTTACACTGAGTTTTATGGCGCTACTTTAGCCATGGTTTACTAAGGTCTTAGGGGACACAAAATAGTTACGGGGACGACACTACAGGGCGCTGACAAGGGCCTAAAGCGAGGGAAAAAAGGGGGGGGAAGGTAAGGCACTAGAGCATCTGGGGACGAAAGGGGGGGAAGGAAAGGAGAGGAGGTATACACGGGATGGGAAGGATGGGGGGGGCAAGGGGGAGGTACGTACCATTGGCGAATCTCACTAAATGAGACAGGAAGCCCTGGTGGCTCCCCCAGGAACGCAGCTATGTTTGATCACCAGCACATACCCACTAGACCCGATAGAGAAGGCCCAGAGCGAACCCACCCCGGGGCACTGATTACAGCCCGCCTATGCCCAGAGCGGGAAGCACACGGAGACCGCACTGTGCAATGCACCACTCAGCACAGTACGGGGGTCATGAGACCCACCCAGGTGGGGACGACTCCACACACCCCACTCCATTCGGCCTGGCGCAAACCATAAGACCAGGCGTTTGTTTTTTCTGTTTTATTTGGTTTTCAATGTTAATCCTAGTTCAATGGTTTGAATTGGTCTCAGCAGGAGGAAACATGACGGACACAACATTTAGACATACGGGACACCGTCTACCACTGGGGGGAGGTAATAGCGAACCACACTCCACCACACAACCATGACAGCTAGCCTGACGTGCATCTCAATCAACTGCAAAGGGCTGAATAACCCCGCCAAACGGCACCGACTCATGAGATGGGCAAACCGCAGCAAAGCGGATATACTCCTACTACAGGAGGAGAGACTATGCAGACACACGGCCTTTCCCTCTCCTAAGCCGCCACTTCCAGGCTTGCTACTTCGCCAACTCCAACTCAGGCAAACACAATGGAGTGGCTTCCTTACGGTGGCGGGCACAATAGGCCCAACCAAATATGCGATCACCTCGGTCTATGGCCCCACAACCCCGGACCCGGGATTCTGGCCTACTCTACGTGCAAATCTCAGCTTACACCCAAACCCCCACCAGATTATAGGCGGGGATTTCAACGCCGCGATCGAGCCACAGGCAGATAGACTCAAACGACCACCACAGACTCCAGCACCGACCAGAAACGACAAACTCATGGCAGACTTCATTTCCACTACCAAACTGATAGATGTATGGAGACTGCAACACCCCTCCACACTAGACTACACCTTTTATTCCCACCCACACCAAACCTACTCACGTATAGACTACTTCCTGGTTTCCCCGTCACTACTTCCACTCATAACAACGACTTCCATAGGCAACATAACGTGGTCCGACCACGCTGAGGTAGCAATCACGTTCCAGCCCCCACGAATCTCCAGACCCTGGTCCTGGAGACTTAACCCGACACTACTCAACAACCCACAAACGGTACAACAAATCACAACAGAACTCAAACATTACTTCGCTCCAAACAAGGATACAGTACAATCCAACGCAATCATATGGGCTGCTCACAAAACGGTGATCAGGGGTACCCTTATTAGCTTAGCCACAGCACACAAAAAAAGACGCCTCACTCACATAGAGAAAATACTAGCGGCCATCAGGGACCTTGAATCCCTACATAAAGTTACCCCCACCCCGGACCTCACTACACAACTCCAACACCAACGACAGGCCCTCCACAATGCAATGGCAGTGGACGCCACCAGGGCTCTACAATGGACACAACAAAAGTTCTACGAAAAGTCCAATAAAGCCGATACACTCCTGGCCCGCAGGCTGCGCAAGCGCATCCAGGCCAAGCAGATAACACGCATACGCACACCATCGGGCCATGACACAGAGGTACCAACCAAAATTGCGGAGGTATTCCAACACTATTTTGCAGACCTATATGACCACTCCCCCCACCATAGGCAACGGACCGCCACCCTACAGGACCGTATCCAAACCTTTTTAGACCGAACCCACTTGCCCACACTATCAGATAGCGCGATCACCCAACTCTCCATGGAGATCACAGAGCAAGAAATTGCGACGGCTATAGGGGCCACCAAACCCAACAAAAGCCCAGGACCGGACGGATATCCGGGCATATATTACAAAACATTCCGGGACACTCTCCTACCCCACCTAGTACAACTATACAACACCCTGCTGCAGGGAAACCCGCTCCCCACCAAAGACATGCTGCAAGCCAACATTTGCCTTCTACCCAAACCCAACAAACCCCTCTCAGACCCAGGCCACTATCGACCAATATCCCTAATGAATGTAGATATCAAACTGTTCACGAAAATACTCTCCAATAGGCTGCTACCACATATCACATCATTAATCCACCCGGACCAGGTGGGCTTCATCCCCACTCGCCAAGCTAGTGACAATACCAGGAGGATGCTAGACCTGATCTGGGTGGCCACCCAGCGCTCCATTCCAACGCTACTCCTATCCCTGGACGCCAAAAAGGCGTTTGATAGGTTACTATGGCCATTTCTCTTTGCCACTCTGGAGAAACTCAGATTCCCCAAACCATTTCAAGACGCCCTGCGAATGATCTATTCTAATCCTACTGCCAACCTACTCATACCAAACACGAACCCCCCCTCGTTCTCCATCTACAATGGCACGAGGCAGGGCTGTCCCCTATCCCCCATCCTGTTCGCCCTCTCACTTGAACCGCTACTGCATCTTATCCGCACCACTCCCCAGATCACAGGCATCAAAATCCGCACACAAACATACAAGGCTGCGGCATACGCCGATGACCTGATGCTGTCATTCACAGATCCGCAGAACGCACTCCCACCTCTCCTCAAACTCATAGACGACTACTCAGAGGTATCGGGATACAAATTAAATTTCGATAAAACTGAAGCACTCATGCTGACAATACCAGACAATCAAAGACAGACACTACGGACCACATATGCTTTCAATTATAAGGCCTCACACATATCGTACCTAGGGATCACCCTACCAGCGGAACTACAGCGCACATACGCACTAAACTACTCACCGCTGATCCAGAAAATCACAGAAGACCTGCAGAGATGGAGGGACTTGTCTTTGTCGTGGCTGGGACGCCTAGCCTCGGTAAAGATGAATCTTCTACCAAGACTGCTCTATCTTTTTCAAACCCTCCCCATCCCCATCCCCACCTCGGACTTCAAATACTTACAGTCGCACATCGACAAATTCATCTGGTCGAATAAACGACCGAGAGTGAAAAGGGCGACCATGTACATCCCCAACAGGACGGGAGGCCTGGGCCTACCCCACTTACAACACTATTACCACTCGACGCAAGCCACACAGATACAACATCTACACACCCCACCGGGGACGAAGCGCTGGGTGGACTTAGAACACGACATATTTGGCTTCGACCTCCCCTCATTGTACATATGGGTCCCACGGAACTCCCGGCCCATGCCACCGCCCATACCCACGACATTAGCTAATTCTATCAGCACCTGGGATAAGCTTACCTAAAAAATCCCTATCATCAACAACCCATCACCACTGACACCCATACTGCGCAATTAAGCATTTAGCCCAGGAATGATCCCAAAAGATTTTGCACACTATGAACACAACGACCTTTATAGAATATGCCACTTCTTTGAGGGAGGAAAACTAATGCAATACAAAGACCTTCCCCAACAACACTCACCATACAACACACATGACTTTTTCAGATACATACAACTAAAGAGCTTTCTGGAACTCCCTGAAAATAGGATAGCAGCCACCAACAGATGCACAACTTTTGAACGAGCATGCATATATAACCCTGCCCGTAAGGGCCAGATCACTGATAACTATAGCCTGCTCATCTCTACTCATGCCCCAGGAGCGATGGCATATGTGGCGGCTTGGGAGAGGGACCTGGGGCCACCGGGAAACCCGACTGACTGGCAGGACATATGGGAGGCCACAGCATCTATCTCTATCTGTGTCAACCACAAAGAGCAGGCCTATAAAACTCTACTACGATGGTATCTAACCCCCGCAAGACTATACCGAATGGGTAGGACCGACTCGGACCTCTGCTGGAAGCGGTGTGGGCAAAGGGGAACATACATACACCAATCGTGGCAATGCCCAAAACTAGCACCGCTTTGGGCGAAGGGGGCCCGCCTGGTCTCCAGCTTACTCCACACAGATATACCCTTAGACCCATGGATCTGGCTCCTATCCAAACCCTGGGAACCTTTAACCAGAGCCCAAAACAAATTAGCAAACAGAACAGCTCTGGCTACAAGGAGGGCGATAGCAGAACTCTGGGGCTCCCCGGAGGTCCCCACTCTAGCTACAATCATCCGCAAAACCAGGGAAGTCATTGAAATGGACAGAATCTCAGCCCTAGTCCACGAAACGTCAGGCCACTTTCACAAAATTTGGGACCCGTGGCTGAGCGAGCCGGCGCTGATGTCGTCGAACCTGGCTACGCCGCAGGCCCAATAAATGGCCAACAGAGGCATAACGGGGTGGGGAGATCAGGGGGTGAAACCCAAACGCAAAACAAACAGGGGAGAACCCACAGGGGACCACAACCGCAACTCAGGGGGGCCAACCCACAACAGACTCCAGCAGACACCCAAAACCATAGCACAGAAACACTAAAACTTCCCGCGAGCATAACACCCAACCACTGAGACCAAAGGTTGACTATGTTTATACTTGATTGTATATTTTTGTATGTTTTTATGTCGGTATTTAAGTTTCGTGGTATAATATGGATTTACCATTGTGCGACCTATCAACATCCAACTAATGCAACAGCAAAGCTGGAAACTAGCTAGACAAACTGTCTACTTAAATAACAATGTCAAACATGTTATATCATAAGACAAATGTATGCACCATGGTTGCAAAATGCTTCTGAAAAAGTGAAAATAAATAAAGAATGTTTAAAAAAAAAAAAAAAAAAAATTATTTACAGGGGCAACCATGACAGCAAGACTTACTCCATCCAAAAATAGTGTTTTATTAAAACACTGTTTTTAGTTGAAGTAACCTTTTAATGCATTTGATAGGTTTTGCATGCCACCTCATTCCATAAAGACTTCATTATCAATGTATGTAAAGATTTCTGTCGCTAACAGCATTAACTGAGTTTCTTATAATTTACATAAAAAACAATCAGAAGAGAGGGTCAGCGCTGATATGTCACGGAAATGTAGCTTAGTAGAATATAGGCAGCACACCTATAAGGAGAAGGGTCCCCTCTAGTCCCCTCAGGCTAAGTATAGTAAGAGAGACAGAAGAGAAAAGGGTGCGCCTAAAAACAGATAGTGTAAATAATACTTATATATGGAAGTCCAAATAATTCAGCAATAGTCCAAAATTAAGGTAATTCACGACAGTAGGAAGGAATCTTTGTGGAATAGCAGGTAGGGCGTATCGTCACGGTTGAAGACTGATTATCCAGTTGTACATGTAAGGGAGAAGCAGAAGAGAGAGAAAACTCCAATGGTACAGTATATAAGTATACTAGATACTAGGATATTATAAAGGAACTACTCACAATATCCAGAGCTTAAATCCAGCTCTGGTTTGAAGTGCATGAAGTGGAATAATCCCCACTCAAGGATATGTAGAGTCTCTCTGTTTTTCGGGTGTATACTTTGGCAGAATAGTCCAGGGTATATTGAGCAGGCTCACTGCTCTATGTGTAGCGTATGGGTGGTACAATCCCCACCTAAGGATGCTTAATGCTTCTTATAGATAATAAAACAATAACATCAGGTCAGGATATAAAAATAACGTAAATAATAGAGTAAAATATAAATAAATAAACAAAAATAGATAAAATAATAAAGTGAAAAGGGAATATGGCAACAATTTTGAATATAGCCAAAACAGCGGCCCTCGACCGGCAGAGTGCACTGAACCCAGGGTGAGGATTGCTCGACGAGTATTAGTCCCCTGGTGAAGAAATCTTCAATGCTGAAGTTGAGGCCTACTCCGGCGGTGAGTGGTGCGGACGGCCGCCACCCCAAAAGAATTTAAAAACGAAAGTTAGGAACGATAAATATTAAATAAGAAGTTAGTCATGTGACGTGCGGCTAATTACTTCGAAATCTCGGGAGGGGCACTTTAGTGGGCTGGAGCGGGGTGAAAAGGGGACTCTTGTTTAGGGGATAGGAGACTGTACACATATGCGGCCACACACAGTGATATGGAAACACAATAACACACTGACACAAACATACCTTCAGACACATACACTGGCACACCCACAGATACAAACCTATACCTAAACAGGCACACACACATACCTACACACACACACATACCTACACACACAGATAAACATACACTGGCACACAAATACACACACATACCTGCACATAAAGACACTGGCACATAGATACACACATACACACTGACGCATACGCACACACACATATCCCTACACATACACAAAATGACACACATACCTTCACATACACACAGATACAAGGCAATAGAATATACAAGCAAAACTCCAGGTACTGAAGTTGTATTTATTGGAGGGTAGAACAACTTAAAAGTGCAAACGTGCGACGTTTCGGCCCTTGGGGGCCTTAATCATGTTTAAGTCCCTCTAGGGCTGAAAAGTTGCACTTTTATGTGGTGTTCTACCCTCCAATAAATACACCGTCAGTACCTGGAGTGTTGCCTGTATATTCTATTACCTTGTATTGTTGGACGGATTAGCAGTGTCTATCTAATGCAGAGCTCCTCTGAGGCTGTGGGCCGGAGTGAAAAGCGGAACCTGAGTGCAGCAGACTACTTTGTCTGTGGTACACACAGATACACAAGCTTACATATTTACAGATACACATTAACACTCACAGATGCACACACATACTCACAGATACACATTGACACTCACAGATACACACTGACACTCACAGATGTCCACATACCTAAACATACACACACAGATGTCCACATACGTTTTTGGGAGGGACTTATCCAGCTTGAAACATGCACTGTTGGGTGTTCTCCCTTATAATGGGAACACTCGTACTTAAATCGACAGCTATACCACCTACACAGTGGCTCTCATTACAGAGCCAACAGATGCCATTCTTGTGACCTGCTGACACTCCTGCATGGAGCGCCGGTGGAAAGTGGTTGGGCTACACTGATTTATAAGTAGCAACCAAAGGTAACCATCCTGTACTTCAAAATCCATTTGAGCTCAAATCGCCATTTTATTTTATTTTTTTCCCCCACACTGCTAGTCATACAGATCAAGCACTGACCTCCATATACCTTACAGATACCCCAAATGAGGTCCAAATAGTAAACAGTGAACAGTGCCCTCTCAGGAAACCTACTACTCAAAATACTTGCAAATGTTACAAAGACTTGGAACCAATTTCCAAACATTCTAAGCAATTGCTTAACTTTGTCTCCCTCCCAGACTTCCCCTTGCCGTCGTGTGTCCACTGACTCACCCTTAATACATTTTTTTATTATTTTTATTTCTTTATTTTATCCAAAGGGCATGTGTAAACCCAGCATAGCATCATTACATACTGGACCCAGAGAGTGGGTACTACTTAACTCCTCACCTGGCCCCCACCCCTGAGCAGCAAGTGGGGGCCCTAAATTACAATAAGGGGGGGACCTATTGTCCTCCCCCCTGGCCCCAACCCATAAAGCGGTGGGTGGGGGCCTTAAATTACAAGAAGGGGGGGGACCTATTGTCCTCACCCCCGGCCCCCACCCATGAGTGGCGGGTGGGAGCCCTAAATGAAAATGGGGGGGACGTATTGTTCCCCCCCAAGTGTAAATACCTACCCAGGTGACTAGGGCTCCCCAGGCGCCTAGTCACCCCCCACCCAAAAAAAATTTAAATTAATTCCTACCTAACCCCCTCACTATAAAATAGTGAGGGGGAACATGAAAACGAAATCCCTGTAAATAATGATTGGTTGCTTTCAATCAACCAATCAGAGAATTATGAGTCAAATTACACAGCATGGGAAAATTCCAAAAAAACTTTCCCACGCTGTGTAAAATGACACAGGGCTCTCTGATTGGTTGGATTTCAAGCCAACCAGAGTGCTGTGACAGGTAAAAAATTACCTGTCAGTCTCTTCATTTACCTGTCAGAGCACTCTGATTGGTTGGCTTAAACCAACCAATCAGAGTGCTCAGAGCCTAATTGCAGGTTGTGGGAAGGCTTTATAAGCCTTTTCCTGCCCTGCAGAGCTCAGTCTGCATGGTGCCCTTGCTGGGTGAAGATGGATTACTTTTTTAGCATCAGGGTTTTTTTTGCGCTCTGGTTTTTATTTTATTTTCAAAATTCGACGGGTATTATAGTTTATTTGGCCTTTTTTGGGGCTGAAAAAAGCAGATTTTAGAAAAATGAAGACATCAAATAGCAAGTTATAATTTTTTTTTTATTTTTTTTACAGGGATTTAGTTTTCTCATTCCCCCTTTATTAAAAAAAATTTGGTGGGGGTGACTTGGAGACCCCTAGTCACTTGAGGAGTATTTACACTTAGCCCCCACCTGTCGCCTATGGGTGGAGGCAGGGAGAGAGGACAATAGGTTCCCCCCCTTTTTTTATTTAGGGCCCCCACCTGCAGCTCATGGGTGGGAGCCGGGGGAGAAGGACAATAGGTTCTCCCCCTTAATGTAATTTAGGGCCCCCACCTGCCACTAAGGGGTGAGGGCTGGGGAGGGGAGGACAATAGGTCTCCTCCACTTTTGTAATTTAGGGCCCCCACCCGCCACTCATGGGTGGGGGCTGGGAGGGAGAACAATAGGTCCCCCCTTATTGTAATTTAGGGCCCCTACCCACCGCTCAG